CAGCTGGAGAGTAGGGATGTAAAAAGTTAAACGATTAAAATTATATTGTTTAATTGGTGAACTGTTAACCAAGGTCGCTCCGGCCGGCCTGGTGTGGGGCGGCCGGGGCTGGGGTCGCTCCAGGCACAGGGCAGCAGGGCCTGGGACCGCTCCAGCCAGGTGTGGGGTGGCGGGTTTAATGGTAGAGGTTGGTTAATGGTAAACCTAATGCTTACCATTTAACCTCTTACAGCCCTACTGGAAAGCGGCAGCTGCTGGCTGTGTGCATAGTATGGCATTTCCACCCTTACTTCTGCGCTGCTGGCAGGGTGCTGCCTTCAGAGCTGGGTACCCAGCCGACAGCCGGTGTTTTCCAGCCACCCGGCTCTGAAGTCAGTGCAGAAGGAAGGGTGGCAATACCGTGACCACCATTCTCCCCCCCCATAAAAAAACCTTCTGATCCTCCCTGCAACTCCCTTTTGGGTCAGGACCCCCAATTTGAGAAATGTTGGTCTCCGCTGTGAAATCTGTATAGTATAAGGTAAAAGCACACAAAAGATCAGATTTCACTGTTGTTGAATTTGGTAGGGCCATAGCTAAAGATCTGGTTCAATTTAACTTTTTTGACTAGTACATTGGCACATGTTCAAAGTATCACACAGATTTTGAATAAGCTTGCACCCAGTGTTAATCTCAGGAGATTTTGTTGCCCTTCACCATTTAAGGGACTAATCTTGTGGTCCGGTGCAGACCTATTGAGCTCAATGGTGCTATGCCTAATAATGAACACTATGCCCCTATACTATAGACTGGCAGAGATACAGGGGGAAACTGCAACATTTAGAGGAAAATGTGGTGAAATGTGAAAGGAATTTTCCAGGTGTGTGGCTGCTTTTGTCAGGGTGGATGGATTCTAAATCACCAAGTGCAAAGCCTTGATTTTTTTAAATAATTTATTTTAATCAACTTTTCCATTTATACTTCAGTTATTTTATAAAGAAAAGTGCATTCTCATAGGTATATATAACCATTGAAACATGTTGATTTACATCTAAATAGACACGTTACAGTAGATTTGGTACATTTTTTGCTACTTAAGGGGACACACTTAATTGTATATATATTTTTAAAGCATTTACATAGCTTAATACTTTCAGATTCTTATTAATTGTACAATTTTAATGTTGGAAAGTGGTGAATAATATATTTATTAGATAATTAACTTTTTGCTCATGATTTGTGTTAAGGTTTGTGCATTAGGTTGGTAACTGTAATCTAATTAAACCAAAAACAGCACATAACATTTATTTTTATTAAACAAAACCTTTAATGTTTTGAATACATAAAGTTCTTTTATCAAAATGTTTCACATTTAGAACTAAATTATTGGTAAAAGAAAGGGGTTAACTATAGACAGTGAAATAAGCGGATCATTTAACACTGAGTTAGTTTTCTCAGCCTGAAGAAGAGCTCTGTATAAGCGCGAAAGCTTGTCTCTCTCACCAACAGAAGATGGTCCAATAAAAGATATTACGCCACCTGCCTTGTTTCTCTGATTGTTTCTGGTCACCCTGAGAAATGTTCAAATATGCTTTAGTCAGAGTGACTGGAGTTTAAGTTCTTATTCACCTAAGTCTCTTAAAAATGAGAGCGTCTCCTAAATTTCTTAATTGTCCTAACTTTTAAAACTAGTAGATCTCATCTCCCCCCTCCTCACTTTCATTCACAGGATTGGAAGAGAAGTAAAAGCAGGAAATCTTGTCTAATTCCCAATCAGTTTCTCTATTTTTGAATGAATTAGTTCAAATGAAGAAAAGATTCTTTCTGTGCCTGCAGAAGAGGATACTGCTGTCAAAAGCTCATTTAGCAGTTCCGCAAACTGTGGTTCCATGTGCTTAGCTACTGACTTTCTTTAAATTGAGAACTGAGCCAATCAGAGCTTAGGTAAGGAAAAGCTATAAAATAAGGGTGCTCAGACCACTCAAGTGGGCTCAGTGGATGATTCTTATGAGATACATGATGGCATCTCTTGGAGTCAGAGGCCATATTTCTGATTTTGCTAGTCTTTCATCCAGTGGCAAAGCCTGAGTTCCCATAGGGTCAAGCCCTTAATACAGTGAAATTTATGTCATATTTATAAAGCTTGACCTCAAAAGTTAGACGTTTTTCCTTTTATTTTTTTCTTTATATAGAAAAGTGGCCTTTAAAGCAGAGTTTTTGATAGTGGCTTATTGATTCAGCATATTTTTTTTATTGAAAATGTTTTAAGAGATTATAACATAAGGCTTTAACATATTTGTTGTTACATTCAGATTTCATTTTAAATGGGTTTATTTAAAAAAAATTAAATAACATGATTTTTTTAAAGGGATTTTATAAATTATCAATTTGTATCCACCCTGCTTTTTGTAGAGGGAGGGGGGGACAACTGATTTTACATTAATACAATATATTGTGATATGTGTAATTGAAAATGTTAGGGAAATGAATGTTGTCCCATCTGTATACAATTCTAGATAATACATTTAAATAAAACACAAGTTTTACAGGGGTAACTGGGTGAACCTCTGGCCTGTGATATACAGGAGGTTAGATTAGATGAGCTAGTGGTTCTTTCTGACCTTAAACTCTATGAATCAGAATGTATTTAATCCAGGTTCCAAACTGGATTAATCAGGTATAAATATCCTGGGCTGGTATAAGGTGCTATGTGACCTTTTAATGAGGAGAGGACCGTCCTGTTCTGTTTTCATCTGAAATACAGCGGTATAACTCTTCTACCATCTTTCTGGGGTTAATGTTTACTACTGAACCAAATGGAAGAGTAAACCTACTGAATGACTGACATAATTCGCTTCAACCCCTGGCAGTGTTGTGGAGATATCCAGTTCAATTGTAGACTATACTTCGCCTTTAGCTTAAGAAATCATTCAGGCTCTGTGTATACAGATGGACTTGCTTAAATTGTGATGTCAGTATTTTTAAAATAGCCTAGGCAAGTACGTTCAGGCCAACGTTAGCACAGTAAAGCAGGAGCTAGAGGGCACTCTGGCTTTATCAAGGAATACGTGAGGGACACAGAGTTAGATTCCGATTAACAGCGTTTAGGCTGTTTTTAAGCCATTAGCTGCAATACATTGTATTTTAAAGCTACCAAACAGCTTTGTTAAATCACCATATTTGAACCTTGCAAGCATGTGTATCTGGAGCAGGGACTGTCTCAAACATGACTTAAAAGTGTAGTTGTAAAATGGACAAGACTTAAAACAGCAATTTGCTTGATTTACGTGTACTGTGTACTGTAGAGTTTAAGAAACTTGATGTTGCTAAGGTAACTACTGAATATCCAGGTTTCATTTGCCAGACTTTTGAACCTCTGTAGTAGTCCACTTGCAGGTGATATGTTCAGTATAGTGCAATGCTTTTTTAAAAAAAAAAAAAGTGCTACATTCAGTTGAAATTGAAAGGGACAGCTACTAAGGATGAAGGGACAGAGAGAACCCCCAGTTGCATTTAATCTAGTCAGTGTATTGGGTTAAGTCCCTTTGTGAGAAGGGACTAACCGCCCAAATTTTCAAAAGTGTGTATTTTGCGCACACGAAATGGATATTCGTGTGCATTCACCATCCTGACTTGTGCTTAATTTGTGCCAAGGCACACCTCTAGGCTTGGCAGTTTATAGCCCCAGCACCTCTGGGCTTGCTGTGTCAGTTATAAAAAGAAGAACAGGAGTACTTGTGGCACCTTAGAGACTAACAAATTTATTAGAGCTTAAGCTTTCGTGGACTACAGCCCACTTCTTCACGGCTGCTACTCTGAAATGTGTCAGTTATGAAAATAAAGTTGTTTGAGCCCTGGCACCTTACTGCTTGAGCCTCAGGACCTCTCTCGTTACAAATTAAGTACTGCATGAGACCCTTGAAAAACTTGAGACAAAATGTCTGCCCGAGTTACAGAAAAGGAGCAAGATCATAGAATGCACTTTTCCAGAATGCCTTGATTGTCCTGAGCTTTTCTTGATTCGATTGTGCTTAACGGAGACTTGCACAAGATGGTTTACTGTTTAAGAAAGTACTCTTCTCCCAAAAGTGTTTGGCAAGAGTTTGAGTTAACTAGGTGTAAATAAAACAAGTTGTAACAGTCCTGCAGAAAAAATCCCTTCTCTATCAGTTGCTCAGATTTCATTCTCATGATGCGATCATACCACGTGTTCTCCCATCATCCAGAGATTTTTCCAACGAAAACAGAATAGCCAAGTCCTAATATTTCTAATGGTTACTTTAAAGAATAAGCTCAAGCTTTCTATAAATCATAATGTTTATAAGAGGCATTAAACCTTTTTTTTTTTGCTGGCCACTTTTAAAATTTAGTTTCTATTATATTTCAGTTTATAAAATATAAAAGTCTGAAATAGGTCCAACTAGGCTTTGAAGTTGACACCCACAGGTAGCTGAATGGTATATGAATAAAAATGTCCATCTCTTTGCTGCTCCTGTTGGTCTGCCTGAAGACACTTTTCTGCTAGACTGAGTTAACGTCTTAGGATATGCAGTTGATTACCGGGAAGATTTTTGCAAACAGAAAACCCTAGAACTTTAAGGGTAGGGATGATGTCCGTGTTTTAACTGTATCATATCTAGTTTATCCATATAAGTACTAATCCAGCTACTCAGGCTATCGAGGACGCTTGAGAACAAAATCAAACTGAAAAAACGCAACACAAAATTCTTTGGGTAACTGACATTGTTCATTCTAGATACTTAAGGTCTGTATTCTAGTCAGGATGTGTCGTCTTACTAATTAATTTAAAAATCTAATTCTTACTGAATGTCTTTGGAATAGGATAGGGGAAATGTAAAGAGAGATCATGGAGGTTTTTTCCTTTTTTTGGGAGGGGTCCAAATTTAATCTCTACCCTTTTAAAAAAAAACGTTAGTTTCCACCATGTAACAAAGGATTTAGTGTTCTTCCATTGTTGTGTAGCACCAAGGTCTGTAACAGTTTTATTTTTTGTTTTACAGGGATAATGGCCCAAGCAGCAACACCAGCATTGTCAGTCCATGATGAGGACTCCTCTGAAAGCAGAATGGTGGTTACATTCCTCATGTCCGCACTTGAGTCAATGGTTAGTGTGGTTAGTTGCTTCAGTATGTTAGTTATGTCGCTCTAACATACAAAATGACAACATTTTCTTGAAAATTGTTGCATGCCAGTTTCACTTATAGCTTTTATGCTTTACCTTTATGTAGACTGCTCTATGATAGAAGAGTAGAATTGTAGAATACTAAAGAGTGAGTTGATAGCATATTTTTCAACGAAAAAACCTCAGTTCAGTCTCTACTCAAGCAAACCATGCTAATAATAACCATGACTTTTTACTATAGTGGAGATATGATCTGAACTGAGAGATTACACTATTAGGCTGGGATTTCAGACAACAGTTGAGGGCAATTTGTAGTTTCCAACTTGGTTAAGCAACTGTAAGGATAATTATGCTATGCTAGACTAGTGTATTCCTTGCCTACTCTAGGGGATTGCACTGGTGTAGTTGTACCAGTAGCTGAAAGCAAAGTATAGACATGGCCTTAGTCTTACAGGTTTAACTTAAAACAACAGTGGAAACACCACAGAACTGTTGAGTTTGAAGATATTGAACAGGAATGCTTCTCCTGCTTCCCATCATGAGGATAATCCTGTGGCTAAGGCACTGGACTGGGAATTGGGGGTCCTCCTTGTGACTTTGAGTAGATCTATTAATCTCTGTGATTTGGTTTCCTCATGTTTAAAATGGAATAGATAATATTTATCCTCACAGGAGTGTTTTGAGGGTAAGGCTTTGTCTACACATAGAATTTGTACAGACTTGACTAAATGGGTTCAGAGAAAGTTTAGTTAAGTTGGTGTATCCCCTTTGCACAAACACTCTTAAATCAGCTCAATCATTATAAGGCTAAATCAGTTTGAATGTTTACACAACAAGGGTTTACCAGTTTAACTCAGGCCTGATCTGCCCCAAAACTTAGGTCAACCTAACTACATTGCTCAGAGTTGTGAAAATTTCACACCCTGTATGATGTGGTTAGGTTGACTTAACCACTACTGTAGACAGAATTCTTCCTTCAACCTAGCCTCTGTCTCTCAAGCGGGGTGGATTTACTGCAGTGATGGAAAATCCCCTTCTGTCACTGTAGTGCCTACTCTACAACAGCATAGCTGCAGTAGTGCTAGTACTGTAGACATACCATCTGTTTCTGAACAGATTTAGTTCAGTTGGTACAATGTCTGTAGACAACACTTAACTTCACTAATACTTCTAAAATGCTTTTAGATTCTCAGATGAAAGGCACTATAGAAGTACAAATTATCTATTGCTAATGGCTAGCATTGTGTTATTTGCAACAGCTTTGAGAGCTATACCATGGCAACACTAGAAAATAAATTGTTTTCTGCATGATTTCATGTAAAATTGCATTAACTGTACTTTTAACTATTGTAGTTCAAAGCCGCTCTGTTTTTTCTTTTATAGTGTAAAGAACTTGCGAAGTCCAAGGCAGAAGTCGCCTGTATTGCTGTGTACGAAACAGATGTGTTTGTAGTTGGAACTGAGAGGGGAAGAGCTTTTGTCAATACAAGGAAAGATTTTCAGAAGGATTTTGTTAAATACTGTAAGTTTCCAAAAAAAGTATTTCACAAATACTTAACTATACATTATAGTACACTGAACTCTGTACCTAACAAATGTTGCAATGCCTTGGTCTTGCCATAATTGACAGAATTATAGTATGTAGATCAGTGTTTAAGAACTTTTTTTTTAACCACAAACTTAATATTCAACATCCACTGTTTAGTTCAGTGCTATTTTTACCTCAGCCAAAAGGTAATGTTACAAGACTAGCTAATGTTATTTTAAACGTATTAAACTCTGTCTACACTGAAGGTGCAAAGTGGTGTTTTATATCATGTTTACTAACTCAGTTTTTAAAAAGCATCTTTTTTCTTAGTGTAGAAGACAGACTCTTAGGTAGTCAGCTACTTCCAACTATGAAAGACAGTCCCTTAATTCTTCAGGTGACTTCATATCTTCTCAAAGGATACATGAAGCTTTTGACATAGGTAATAAAACTTTAGGATTTGCCTACAGCTTTTTGTAACGCTATAATTTTTTGCACAGCATTAAGCTATGCTGATAGAAGCATATTTATACTGGTATGAGAGCATCCATACTTGCGGGTTGTCCTGCTTTAACTAGATCTGTTTCTAAACTATACTGGTCTAGCTAAATGGTACAACTTTTGTGTGTAGACAAGGCCTAAGAGATGGCCCACTTAGAATATGCCAAAGTGTCTTTCAAAAGCTTAATGACCTGTCTTGGAGCCTGTATTTCAACGATCAGTCTGCCCATCAAGAAAAATGGTTTCTGCTGGGCTTTACATATTGGTCATTGAGGAATGTGGTTTTGCCTGGCTAAGTGGAGTTTTTGTTAAAATAATTCTTCACTCCATCTCCTTCGATTATTAAATATTGCTTGACTGATCGACATATTTCCCTCTCCTACCTTGTGTGTGTCATATCCTGAGACCAACACACCTACAACAACACTGCAAACAGACCGATTTAGTCCATGACAGAAACAGTGGACATACTTGAACAGTATTTTCGCTGCTGTTTAAAATTCTAAATCAGAGCTTATTCTCTCAGCGCCCATTCTTTATTCAGGGCAGGACTCTCAATTGTTTAACTGTCATACAGAATTATATACACATTCAGCCACTATAGAAGTAATTATTCTGCTTGATCTGCAGTGAAGTTACTATTCAAAATACAGCATTATAACTTCATTGAAGAATCAAATAGTAGATGAAGTGTTACTGAACCAAGTCCTTATTTAAACACACATAGCTCTGGTAAATGGCAAACACTAAGAATAAGTATGATGAACACTTGATGGCAAATGAGTTTGATTATGTATGACTTTTGTCATTATGACTATCCTCCTTTAATTATCTCAATTTTCCACTTTTGAGTGATAATGGCTGCTGCAGCTTGTACCTTCCTGTTATGAAGGTGGAATGAAAGAGTAGTATTGCTCCTTGTGTTGGTTAAGTCACGTAATTCTATGAATAAAACTTCCTGCTCAAGTATGGGCAGTGTCTATTGCAGCAAGGCCACAAGGAGGATTAACTCTCCACCGGCTTTCTATTCCTATCCACTTTCTGTGGTAATATGAAGCTACCATTTTTGTGTGTAGTATAGTAGCACTTGAAGGCCCTGTTGTGCTATGAGCTGTACATAGTTTTGTGGTTTTCAACCATTTTTTGTTTGCAGACCTCTAAAAAATTTCAAATGGAGGTGCTCTCCCCTTTGGAAATTCAGCCTGTGGTCTGCGGACCCCTACCATAGAAGTCTTAGATTAAAACTGAACAGAATTAAACTATAAATGTTGCATGTGCTTGGTGCTAAACTATGGGCTTCTATGGTAATGACAACACTTCCAGGTTTTGACCTGTAGGTGGGGGTATTCGCGTACTTTTGATTGATCAGAAAAACAGAATGCCTTTTCTGGAATCTAAAACTTTATTTTCATAGTCATCTTTTGTGGACCCTTAGACATAGTCTGCGGACCTCCAGGGCTCCACTGATCCCAGGCTGAAAACCACTGATGTAAATATAAAGTTTTGTTTTTTTTTCTTTCTGCTTGATGGCGGCCTAGTCTGTAAACAAGTCATGATACCCAAGATTGAGGCACTGTAGAATTCCTACATAAGTTACCAGATGTAAACTAGACTCTTTACCCTTTTTGTTTGCTTAGCAATATATTGGTAGTTGTTCAGTGTTTCCAGTTTCCTATAGTGGTATTTGTGCAAACAATAAACCTTTGGTGTCAAGAATGTTAAAATTGCAGTGCTTCGTTGGATGAAGCTTTTTCAAACCTAGTAGTTAGTTATTTCTTCATGGAATCATTTTGGTTTGGAAGGGATGTAAAACAGATCAGAAGAAGGGATTTATTTATTTATTTGGGGGGGAGGGGGGCAAGACTGACAAAGATCAAATAACTCAAATCTAGTACTCTGTGTAAAGATTGACTTAATTATTCCTAATAAATTAATGTTTGTTCTAGCTTTAACTGTCCCCAGTAGTGCTGATTCCACCACCTCCCTTGGCAGCTTGAACTGTTCTTGTAGCTAGGGTTTATTACAGTTGTCCTAATATGAAACTCAAAAGCAGGGAGGCCTTCTCCCCCACCCACACCTTGCCCCTTCAGTTAAGATGTGAATGTGCAATAAGCATGTTTTGAGACATTAGTAAGTCCTCCAGAAAAACCAGGGAAGGCCAGAGTTGATCCTGCCATTTCTCAGGTTTAAAAAAAAAGGGGGTGGGGTGGCGGGGAGTGGAAATAAAAATCTCTTGGAAGCCATATTTTTCATCATAAAAGAACAGAAAAGGCACAAGCTCGGTGTTTAAAAAATAATCATTTGCAGGTCACTTTTTAAGCCAGTTGTGTTCTGTCTGTTGAGAATATTGAGTCCTGATTTGCTTTTACATGTCTATAGGACAATTAGTTTTCTTTTTTTAAAGTATGTGTGGACTGAGTCATCGTGGCTGTTAAGTATTTCTGCATTTCTTTTCATGTCAGATTTGCTTGCTCTTCTTCCCTGTTATGTTGTAGACCCAGTATTTTTTCCCCCTTTGTCTCTACTGCCTCACTCTTTTTTTTATTTGTTCCCTTTTTGCATCTTTTGTAAATATAGGCAGTCTCTGATAACTAGCAGGGCTCAGGATCTGAGGCTCATTTTTAACTATTAGTAATGGGTGTAATTTAGTGGGGCTCTGGTGATGGAAACGAGTTTAAATTGCTCGAGGATTTTATGGAAGAAATGACACCTCTATTTTGTAGCAATACTGAGCTGATAGAAGAGAATTGTTGCTAAATGTTTTTATTTTTTACCGTACACATTGTATTGATCGAAAAATCAGAGCCTATACATTATGTACTCAAGCCAAGAACATTCTTCTTCTTTGTAAACCAAATGACCGTAATCAGTTTCTTCCTCAACACTCTACTTCTAGAAAGATTTTTCAATCAAAACACACTAAAGAATTAAAAATAAATAAAAACAATCATTTGGAGTTTGGGCCTTCAATTGGTCAGAATTTTTTTTAAATATCTGAACTGTACTTTACAAGTTAGATTGTTGTAAACCTTTTGGTGCAGTGATCATTTCCTTATTCATGTATTATACAATGTCAAGTAAACTCATGGCACTCAATAAATAATTGACATATTCTACTAGTACATGTTTAGTTACTATTGCACATGGAAGGAATCTGTTAGTCTGGTAGGTTTTCCAGCCACTATCTTTTTATAATAATCAGTCACATATTAGTTAGAAAATCTTTGTGGTCAAATCTTGTGGTTTGAGTTTCTAAAACCAGTATTTAGTGTGAAATCCATTCAACTCTTCTCTTGCCGTTGAGGTCTACAAGGCATTATGTTATCCATTGCATCACCATACTTGCTGTCATTTCTAGTTTTTTTAAAGGTGAAAATAGTACCTTTAGACCCAGATTTACAAATGATTTAGGCACCTAAGGATGTAGATAGGTGCTTTTGCAAATCCTTCTAGGCATCTGAGTGAGTTAGAAAATCAGTGGGATTTAGGCACCTTTGTAAATCCTGCTAGATGCCTATCTGCATCTTTGGGTGCATAAATATATTTGTAAATCTGGGTTTTAGTCTGATATAACCTTTTTTTATAAAAGCAACAGTGTTTAAGGACACAGAAGGAAGTAGATGATACCAGATTAAACAGAAGCTCAGTACATGGTAGATAACCTGTTAGTAGGCTTATTTGTATATAACAGTTGTCAGATGCTGGAGCTATGACTGTACTTTTTCTGTTGTTTTGGCTGCCTGTTGTCTTTTCTTTTTCCTCTCCAGTGGTTATTTCCATGCTTTCGTACACATGAACCTAACTATGTACTAGCTGTTTAGTGTGGGATTGTACAATGCCGCTACTAAGGAATGCCTAAAGGACTGCTTTTGTGATACTGGTGCATGATGTGGCCAGACCTGGCAATCTTGTAGATACTTTGATTGTCCAGCAGGAACCTGCTGGGTAGGAGTTCATCTACAGTGATTTTTATATTAATTAACTCAGTAGCTCTAGTTAGTGATTTTTGGGGGCTTGTGTTAAAGAATTCATTTAGTATTAGATCTGCTGAAATGGTCTTAAGACTCCAATTTCTTCCTTATAGTGCATATGGTATATTAGACTAGATTAACCCCATTACCTCTTTATGCTACTTTAGTTGCACCTGCTAACACCTATGTAAATGAAGTGTAAGAACACCTGACTCCTCCCTCCCAGCTAATGTGACTACCATTACCATATTCCAATAGCACTGGTCTACAATTTTTGAGAAGTCGTCTGCTTCAGAGATAAAATGTGCTATTTATTATGTATTTTGATGTGCTGAATTCAAATATGACAATTAAAACAACTGATTGGCTACTGTTTCTAAGATACTTAAGTTTTTACATTTTATATCTATATT